ACACACACACACACACACACAATTGGTAAAGTATTTACCTCTCCGTAAATGTGAAACGTGCAGGTATCTTCATCTAGATAAATAGCAGTGACCCCAGGTACTTTTTTAGCTTGCTGAATATTAGCACCATGTGTACCAATAGCTAGACCCATCAGATCTTCTCGTACAATAAACTGTTCATGAAACCTTGAGGCAAGTTGCCTTGAACTCTGAAGAGAAATGCAGGTCTAATTAATATGCTTTATCGAATATTAAGTCAACTGTATTTAGGTCAAGCCAACTGTATTTAGGTCAGCCATGTAAATGATCTTACCCTGTATACCAGGAGCCTGTAAGTTAGTTTCAACTGAAAACTAACAGGCTTTAGAAAATACCTCCCATAAAACAAGAGTTTTTAGGTTAATGAAGGTCTATGCCATTTGATCTATTTTTGATAACAGGGAATGGTTTGTTGACAATTTTCCAAGGTAACTTAAAAACCTGTTTGCAAGGCTGCCTTAGTTAACCAATGACATCAACAATGTAATTAATTAAGAAGCAGATCAAATGTTCCCACATAAAAACCAGCTCACTGGGTCTGACAGACTCAGTGCTATTTATTTAAGTAGAAAAGTTTTCAAATACCAACTTTACAGAAGATTTTATACACTTCATTTTTCATTAAAGGATGAGTTTATTTCTTTCTGGAAAATGGCATTTTTTTTAACTTGTCACAAGATACTGTGTTCTGGACATCCCTGTTAAAGAAATGACACTAAAATAACACCCCTACCTCCACACTTCCCAGAAAGGAACCATATACATTGTTGGTTTAGTAGTTAAACTGATTAAGGAAGGCCAAAATTTAAAACACTTATCTTACATATATGCATCTGAAACCTAAATGAGACCAGTCTGTCAGACCTTGTGACCTGTATTCACAAGTATGATGAACTCGAAATTTCAAGTACTCAGTGATGACCAAATTAAGTTCCACTGACACCCAAAACTTGTGGATAATTACTCTCTTTAAATAAATAGTGTTATCAAAATTTAATGTTTAATTCTAGCATGCTATTAATGAAAACCAAAACATATTAGTGGCTCATGTTGAAAAATGGGAATTCCTTATCTGAATGTGAATATCCCTAATATTAGTAGTGAAGAAAGACAGACATGCATACTAACTTCTAATTATTCAACACACCTGATAAGAATGAATGGATGTAACTAGTACAAAACAATTTTTAAAATATAATGTCTACTCCTCTAATT